CGTGTCGTTGGCCGCCCGGGGCGGAATCTGTTCGTGCCCCCGGCTCCCCTGGTATTTTTGTCTTCATTCCGTGACCACACAGCGGGAGGGCGGGCCACTGTGAATCGCGCACAGGCCTTTGGCGGGAAGGGGGGGGACGTTTAAAAGCTCCCGAGGACGGGGCCTGGCCTGGGAGGGGGCTGGTTAGGTTCCGCGGGTTTCTGTGCCGAGGAGAGGGATCGGGGCTTCCCGTTAACCTGGATCTCGCCCGCGTGGAGCACCGGTGTGATCGCAGGTCCCCGGTCCATGCCAGGTGCGCTGCTTCCCCCCGGGCCTGTGATCGGGCCCGGCCGGCTGCTGCCCCCCCAGGTGCTCTGGAGCTGAACGGGGCTCCCCAAGGGCTGCGGAGCGGGTCCCCCAGCTCATCAGCCACCGCACACGCATCGCCGGAAGTCACTCCCTGGGCTCCTTACTGTGCACTGGGTGTCAGTGGGTCCGTCAGGCACACAGTGAGGACCCGCGGGGCATCCTAGTTGCTCCTTATCTGTAGTTTTAGGATCGTCTGACCAGCTTGGACGTTTTGCTCACTTTTTCAAAGTTCTTGTTTCTCTGGGGACTTTTCCACCTATATTTGGCCAAGACAGCCGATCACCAAAGGGTTAATAGGAACAACGGTTGGATAAAATTTTTCCATATTTAATAACAGATTTTGTCAATTTATACAACTCTTGGTGCCTTTTGTTTTTAATGTATATTATTTGGGATAGGTTTAGTGTAACAAAATGTACCCTTGTTTGAAACTCCCATATTTAATATGTGGAATTCTGCATTGTTTTGCGAGAACACTGGGCTCTTGAATGGAGCTTTAATCCCTTCTGTATCGGATTGTTCACTTTGATAGGAGAACCGCTGTCATGTAATGGTCATCAGGGTGTTTTAATTCATTGAGAATTGATAAAAGAGTTCAATGGAAGAAAAAATTGACCTATTTAATTGGTCCAGCATTAACAAAATACTGTCAGTCCTGTAAGTTGTTCATGAAACACTCGTACCTATCAAAGCTCATCAAAAAGTATAATAAAATTAATATAAGCTATGTCTGAATTAGCAGCCCAGGGTAATATCAGAAAAGCCTGCACTTAAAAATATTTTTTCAATTATTTCTACCACAATCCAGAGATTGGTTTTTAGAGTGGGCTAAGATAAAAATGAGAAAGGGCCCTGGCCGGTTTGGCTCAGTGCGAAGAGCTCTGGCCTGCAGACCAGAGTTCAGTTCTGGTCAAGGGCATGTACCTCCCCAGCCCAGGCCCGGATCAGAGCGGGGAGTGGGGCAGGAGGCACCCAATATTTCCGTCTCCCTCTCTTCCACTCTAAAAGATCAATGGGAAAATATCTTGGGGTGAGGATTAAAAAAGAGAGAGGTAACAAGCTAGCATACCTGATAGAACTAGCCCTTAACTTTTCTTATGCTCTCATTCTTTGCTTGAGAAGTTTTAAAATAGGAAATTTGGGCTGTGGCTGCTGTGGCTCAGTTGGTTGGCCAGTTCATCCTTTGTAACAAGAGGAAAACAATACTGGCAATGGGTCATGAGCTGGCTTAATTTTATCTGATCTATTTCCTATAAATTATTAAACTGGTATTCTGGCTTAGAAATCTTGAACTTCCCTTGGTTCAATCAAGGTGACCTGGTAATATTGCTTTTCTAAATCTAAGAATATGCCTACAAAATACTATTAGAAAAATTCCTTAATTTAAGGGCTTAAATTCATTAATGACAAGTTAAACTGAAGACTAATTAGGGAATATTGAAATGTTAATTTAAATTTCTGAGAATCTTACAATTCATACGCTGAAGACTAGTTCTTACTTGCTTCTGGAAATTAACAATAATCAATATTCTGAACCAGCAATTTTCAATCTTTTTTTTCATCTATGGCACACATTATTACTAAAATTGTGGCACTCCAAAAATGCAATTTTTGCTGACAAAAAAAAATTAGGTGTAACTGTGATTCACACCAGATGGCTATTGTTTGCTGTTATTTTAAAATTGGACAATCTAATAGAAAAGAGATCAGTGCCCCTGACTAGTCAGATATGGGCATATTTTTTTGTGTTTTTTTTTTCCAACTATATTTTTATTGATTTCCGAGGAGGGAGATAGAAACATCAATGATGAGAATCACCAATTGGCTGCCTCCTGCACACCCCCAACTGGGGGCTGAGCTCGCAACCTGGGCCTATGCCCTTGATCAGAATCAAACCCGGAGGCAGCCAATCAATGATTCTAATCTTAAATTTTGTTCATTCTTTCCGAGTTTTTCTTAAAGTTGCAGATACACAATTATGTATTTTAGTCCTAGTACTCCCTGAGCGGGTGGCCTTTGGAAAACGACTCCTCCGTGGGCCTTTCCCCCCACCCCACCTCTATCCCAGACCCAAAAGGTTAAAGGATGCCATGGAAACGACGGGCTCTTGGGGCGAGGGGCGGGGATAGTTCCAGGCCGACTTCCATCCTGCCAGCTCAGAGGTCGGTCGTGAGAACTACATATAAGGACTGTCGAGGGCAGGGCCTGGTAACCCCCCACCAGCTCTATACTGGACTTTTCTGGGCCTGCGCTGGTTTCTCAGCCCTGGCAGTACTGGCATCACAATGGGTTAAGTCGGGGGTGGGGCCCATGTGTTGTAGAATGTTTAGCAGCAGAATCCTGGGCTTCTAGCCACATGCTGGTTCTAGAAGGGACCATGTTAAATGGGGCATGTAATTTCTGAAAGATGTTTGTCTTTAAAATAGAGACCTAAAATCTTAACATTTTAATGTCCTATCCCAGATGTAAATTTTGAAAATACCTTTTTAAAAATCTGGATAGCTACCTAGCTGGCTTAAAACAATTTGATACTGGCAAGCATACTTCATATACTTGTAAAGGATTGGGATGGATGGCGTTTTTCCAGGTGCGCCAGGAAATGTTTGCAGATTCTGGTCTACCCTGGGGGGTGAGGGGGGTGCACCCCATGGCTCCATTATAAAAGGGGATCCAAACTGAAGAAGCCCAGAGGCCTTACAGAAACTTGTGTGATCTTCGGTGGTGGTGTGTCCTGCTTGTCCTGCTGTGTGGACAACCCATGCTGGCTCCTTTCCTTCTCGGCCCAACACGAAAGCCTCACCTTCTACCTGTGTTAGCGCCTAGGACCCATTGGAGCTGACACTACTGACCACCCTCTGGAGCCCTAGCATCTCAAGCACCCTTCCCCTGGGGAGAGGCTGGGCTGGAGGTGGCGTGCAGAGCCCAACACTCCCTACCTGCAGAGCAACTCGCACCCTCACCTCCAACCACATGTTCCACTGGGCTTTTGAGCTCACAGAGGAACTGAATTTTTTTAAGTGAAATGAAAAACCGAGAAGCACAATTCAAATATGTCTATGAAGATTTGTATTAAAGAACTTTCAAAATTAAAGTGCAATATTAATGAATACCTGCTGTGTGCATGAAGTAACCTGTGTTAGCGGGAAGGGTTAGCAGGGAGAAACCAAAGAAAAAATGGAATAGAATGATCCCAGAGGGTATGTAATTTTTGCTTTATTACGAACCAGGTCACACATTTTGTCTTTCCTGGCAGAAGCTTGAGCCAAAGCAGCAAACAGGAGAAAAATACAACCAAGAATGTTATTTCAACCTTTAACCTTACTTCCTTCCCCACTTCTTGCGTTCCCTCGTCCTGGAGGAACCCTCCGCCCCCTTTGGCCCCCCCTATACACTATATTGTCATTTAATGGACAGGCAGCTCTCTTAAAAGCTACATTACTGAAAACCTGCAGAAATTTTCTACTTTTTTATTGAATAGAAATGCCACAATGAAATAGATGTGACTTTTTTCTTGAATATTTTGTCCTGCCCTCCATTGAGGGCCACAAGATAATTAAGTGCAATTTCCTATCAGGCAAGGAAACAGATCAGGAGTTATAATGCCCAATGTTTATCTTTACATTAAATATTCTTGTGAACAATTGATGTTCACCTCATTAGAATTGTACCAATCCCACTTATGCTTCTCAAATTTCATACAGATATTTAAAGAGCTCATAAAATGTGCTCTTATTTCCAAACTGTTCAATTAGCAAATCATTATCCAACATCAAAATTCAATTGATTTAGGTATGTTATTCTAGAGGCTTTCTCGTTAATTAAATTTTCAAGGTTTCCCACTTTAAGATCTGGCTTCTTCAGACTGAATACCAAAAGCAGGATGTTGAAAGTAAATGGATCGATTCCTGGTCATGTTCTTTGCCAAACCACTGTGATCTGCAGCATTTCCTTGTTCAATCTAGGTTCTTCTTTATTTTATCTTAGCCCTTTAAGCTCCTAGGAATTTTAGATGTGGAGAACATCCCCTGTGCACGGGACTCGGTATTATATGGTTCCCTAGGATCTGTTGTGGCTGGCCTCGGACATTTTTTGTTAACTAGTGAGTATATACTTTTCTCTGAATGAACAACACACATCTGTGTGTGGCAAACAATTATTTTCTAGATGAAACAGTATGTCATAATTATAATGACTGCCTTTTGACAGGTAGAATTAGAAGATCATGTGATGTCGGAGTAGGAGGATTTATCGTCGTGACTTTAGGATGCTGGTATGTGCACTAAGCATTCAAGAGGACCCCATGATTACAGGTTTATCCAATTCCAATGCACATGCTCTTTTCAGAGCCATTTCCCATTGGGAGATTTCCACCCTCAGTTACTTAGAAGGGATTTTTATTTTTAAGAAAAGGACTTTTAATGGAAATTTCTTAAATGATATTGCTGGAATGTCTTAATCCTTTCAGTATGTATGTGTACTCATATTTTATACCATTTCTTGAATGAGCAGATGACTGCATAATATGCCATGAATGCCAAGTTATGGCTTATACTTCATTTATGAAGGCCTCCACCCTGTACCTTACACCCTAATTCCCATTTCATCCCTGCTCCCAGCATCACATCTGATGTTACTGAGAACTGATATAGCATGGATGACTATCAGGTCTGTTTTCGTCAGCAAAAAAAGCCAGACCCACAGTACTGGTTCCATTTGCATGAGGTTCTACAAATAAAATTAAGCTAAAGTGACAGAAATCCTCATTTTATATACAACAGTGTTCATAGGTATCACCGACACCAAACCACCAGAAAGAGGTCTGCAGACTAGAATGGTTATACTTTCAGTCTCAGGGTACTCATCTGTAAGCATTCCTGAATTTTATTACTGTAAAATGTCAAATGTTTCTATTATATTAATGACTTTGTATTCTTTTCTTCCAAGGTTCCATTGTAGGTATAATTATGCAAAGCTAAGAATCCAGGAAAGAATGGCCAGAGAAGGAATTAAAAATAAGATTTTATATGAAAGTACCCACCTTGATCCTGAAAAAAAACCAGCAGCGGCAGCACCTGAACAGTCTTGAGCATAGAATCCAAATACAACTGATGTCCGTGTGAACCAAGATGGACCGACTGTGTAAAACACTGCATGTGCCATAAGGGTTCAATCAAGTAAATAAAGCATGTGTGAGTTGTAGTCTTTTTTCCACTTGTAGGAATATTTTATAAACTTATTCTGGCCCTGTTATCTACTACCAGTATAGCTTAATAGTGGACTTGTCACACAAAATAAACCTAGTGTTCAGCAAGCTTTAAAAAGTTCCTTTGTAGTGAGTGTAAACGATGTCCATTTTAAATAAAATCCCAGTTAGATTTTAAAACTTGCCTTTAAAACAATCGTATTACTATCCAGTTAAAAAATGAGGGAATACTTCTTGGTTCCTTTAAAGAAAAAAGTATTTTTATTGATTCCTGAGAGAGAAGAAGGGAGAAATGATGAGAATCTTCGATTGGCTGCCTCCTGCACGCCCCCTACTGGGGATCAAGCCAGTAACCCTGGCATGTGCCCTGACCAGGAATTGAACCCCGACCTCCTGGTTCATGGCTCCACACTCAAGCATTGAGCCACACCAGCCAGGCACGTCCTCGTTTCTTTAAACCAATGGTAGTATAAGACTTAAAGCTAATAAATTGGATCACTTTGCAAATTATTTTAAAAACGTGTCCATTGCTTGACACTATTCTTCCATGTCTTACAGGGAAGGTAGAGACTGCTGTTTAACTGTTCTAAATATTATTTTGGAAGTACGCATGGTTTTAAGTTTTATGTAGAATTTAAATATGCACAAAATATTTTCAAAACTTGTTTGATGCAAAGGAAAAAGAACTGCCAGATTACATAGTATTACACTGACATAAAAAAGACATTTATAATTCATTCTTCTGCGCTCGCTCTCTCTATATATATGCAAATATATAAGTATATATTTATATATTTTTAAAGCAGCCAATGTACAACTCAACCCACAGCATTTATTCATTCAGGAAGAAATTTTCTCCAAAGCAGTGATGTTATTTTTTTTGTTTTAAAATCAACATTAAAAAAAATCTGTTAAATAAAATACATGCTAGAGGTCTTCCTGGTTAGGGAATTATAAATTTGTGGCTGTTACTATGAGGGTTGGGTGCCTAGGCTATGTGGTTTGCCAAATGCCCTAACAGCTAGACTAGTGAATGACACTGTCACACACCTGTCCTAATGTTTATTGATCCTAATCATCTTGACAGCCACCAAAGGAAGGACTTGGGCATTGATTAGGGAAGGGTATTAGAAATATTCATATTACAACAACCAAATTTGTTTTTAAAAAGCCATGATGTGACACTCACTTGAGAGGCTGCACAAGTTGGGGGAAAAATGAGGAGTACTCATCAGAGCTGATATTTAACAAGTTATCTGTGCAGGCCACTCGTGTCCTTAGCTTCAGTTTACAAATACAAGTAACACATAAAACGAGGCAATTGGATTGAATAACTAAGGCCTCTTCTAGCTCTAGCATACTGTGGTTACATCTTACCCCGATGAGAGAGAAGCCTCTCGGCTGGTGAAAATTCCAGGACCCTCACCAACAAGGTTCGTTTTCATTTTCACAGCAGGATGCTTTATAAATTGGAGACCTGGATAAAAACAGTGATATGTCACTTCATACGTTTACATGATCAGTAATATATGTATTTTTTTCTTTAGTAAGATGTTAGGAGATGGATTACTGAATTAGACTATGTCTAAGACGCCAGGCCCTTTATCACATTGCTCTGGACACATCTGATAAGGCCTCCATTGTCGCTCTTGACATTTCCACTTGTAGCCTCTCCAGTCCATTTCCACTCTGCCAGTCCATTTCCACTCTGCCACCCCACTTCAGTCCAATCACCTTTATCTTCAGTGCACCTTGGGCAACCATGACCTGAACTCCTCCTCCTCAAACTTCTTAATTTCACTGCAAGTATCTTCTACTTTCTCTCTGTAACATTCTTCATCCTCCTGGGCACTAACCTCTGGGGATTAGGCTCACCTCATTTAGGGTCTCATACCCGTTTCATCTGTTACAGTAGGTGGCACTTCCATTGACTTGTGCTACAAGTTGAGCCTAACTGTCTTGTCAAGAACCCTGTCAATGTTTATATCTTCACATTCCAACCAAGTGTCACAAGACAGTCAACACTTGTTTGTTGTAGTGGATCACTAAATATTCACTAGAAAATGGACAGGAACCAGGTTCCCTTCTCATCCATGCACACACTTCAGATTTTAGTCTGAAAGAGTAACCTACCTTCCACGCTCACCTGGAGCCTCCAGCTGCACTGCGTCCTTCAGTGTTCCAGCAAAGCCGAAATTTCACACTAGGTGACATAGCAGTAGGTACCAGCTAAATAGCTGATTAAAATAGAATTGTGGTCATTAGTAATTTTCACAACTTCTCATGGCTTATCTCTCATACCTACTTTAACTTTCCAGTGCTTTATGCATTTCCCCCTTCCCTCGCCCCTCCCCTTTGACTACTTGATTTTACATTTTAATAAAAGGACCTCAGGGAATTAAAATTAACTTCAAGCTTCTCTCTGGACTTGTAATTTATATTGACCAAGTTAGGCAACAAGAATTTTTGACTATCCCTAGTTCCATTATTTGATTTGCAAGCATCTCTTTAGTCTACGTACCTCTACTCCATCGCTGGTTTCCCTTTGCTTCGATTATATAATGCGAGGAGGTCTATATAATAAATTCAGGATTCCTGTTTATGCACTTTTCAGCACAGAGCTAGGGATCAAATAGGGTTTGAATCCTTCTATTCCTAGATAAAAATCTGTTGCAGATCGGGGTCAAGGCGCCCCTTTAAAAGTCATGTTAATATATACACTATGCTTTGGGTAAGCAGAAAACCTTAATGAGGAAAGTAGAAAAATTAAAACGATTGCTATAATTGGTTTTAATGGTCCTTCAGAATAAAGGATTTTTGGAAGCATCTTAAAATATTGTCCAGTGGTCATCAAATCAGGTCAGTGTAATATACCAATATCCTTTACCACCCAAATACTGTTATCTTACACATTACTTTGTGCATTAAGTTCCATCTCTAAATTTTCTCTTAAAAGGGAAGCTTTAGGGACAAAAAGCTTATGAAGGCATTTCTCAAATATTACATTTTCAAGTTTGTAACACGAGCACTACAAATATGCTGTAAATGTCTTTTCAATCACTGCCTTTGCCTTCCTTGTCATTTCCTAGAATGACTTTCTCCCCATGTATTTCCATTGTGAGAAAGTGATCAGTGATACTGAGCAATACTGCTCACTTTAAGCTGAGCTATGGGATCTTCAGATGCCATTAGATCGTTTTTAGTTGACAGAACAGTACTCTGTTTCATTGAGCAAACCCGGAGCTACATTTCAAATCAGTATAGCACCCAAGTCCACTCATTTCACCAAAATACAGTAGTATGGAATCCGCAGCAGGAAAAATAAATGTCCTCCAAGCGTTAAACACATCAGGGAAGAGACATTACATACTCTGGATTGGCAAAGCTCCCTGGGCCTTATTCCTTCTTTATAACTTAAATTTATTTCCTAGAATATCACTTCGTTATCCAAAAGGATCTCAATCATTGTTTTAGATTTTTGTACTGATGCATTTAGTGTAGATGCAGGAAGTTTTGGGGAAACTAAGAACACAGGTATTCTCTCTTTTTGCATCAGAGTACTACATTTAAAGTCGACCAGTATGGAGGACATTTAACAAATGTCTTGCAAAAAGTTAAGCAGAATGAATTCAAACAATTAGAATAAGGTTCTAACCTTAAGAGGACTGGGCTCTATTTATATATACTGCAAATATCTATGCAAGAGGACTGCCCACTTCAGGTATGTGAAGGAGAAATCGAACTTTTTTTTTCTGTTATAAAACCTACCCGTCTGCTTATCAAGTTTCCCCTTTCCCCCCATCTTTTTAAAATAAAGGCAGTTTTAACTAAGGTGATCCTAGAAACTCAATGTAACACGTGTTAAATGTACAAGCAGCAATGAATTTGGAATACCTATTGGAATCACTGGAACAGATTTAGTTGGGCCCTTTTACTCTTCCACACAGCACATTCACATGGACAGACTAAGGAAAAGGAGATGAAATTTAAATCAGCACATTTTTTTTATTACTTAAAAGAAAAAAATAGTGAAGTTGGAACCTTTTATATTGTACTTGACCAGGACTCCTCTATCTCCCTTAACTGTTATGAAGCACCTTAATAGCTACCTTAAAAAATTGACCTGTTAGTTGCCACTTACATAAGCCCCAATCAATCTGAAGTATTGGTTTTATCTCATCTTCTCTCTAGATGCCTTAACATTCTAAAGCTTGTGCCACTCAAGTTGGATGTCTATACTGTTTTTACCTAAAAATTTTCTGCCTGGTAGTAATTTGTGGCAATGCTTCTCAAGTGCTTGGCAAGCTAAGTTTACCGGACAAAACTAATTTTACCTCCTGGGCGATCGTGGACTGTTAAAAGGAGCGGCAGGAAAGAACATGCCACAAATAGCTGTGTGTATCAGCTGGACGCTATGTCAGCCTCTCTAGCCTATAATCCCTGCATTCCTCCAGTTTGTGGGCACTCGCTCTGGAAACTCAGGAGTGACTGCTGTGCCACAGCCACAATGAGCGGAACCTTCTAGCATCTCTCCATGTCTTGAATGTCATTACCTCACTGTTTGACTAGAGTATAGTTACTCATACCACAGATCCAGCTTTGTCAAAAGTAAAACCCCTATTCCTTGGCAAGTTGCAAGTTAACGGTGACTCCTGGCATGCAAAGGGAGGAAAACAATAATATTCCTAAGTAATAACTAGGTAATTACAGATTAAACACATGGTCAAGTTCCTTGTCCAACCTAACCAAGCAGTGATTACAGGAGTTCTGGCCCTTCAGTTACCTGCACCATTCGTTCCCCTAATACTGGATCTGCAATCGGCTAACGTCACTGATCTACACAATGCTGAAAAAACTGAATATGGCTTTCCACATGGACAGCACTTCTCAACTCAATCACACAAGGTATTTACATTCTTTGAGTAAATTATAGGTTAATATTTCTCCATCTCCAATCTACTAACCCTTATAGTTCCTTGGGCAAACTAAACATATTCAACCACCTATATTTGTGGTCAATTGGATAGGAGGTGAGAGTATATCTTTAGTGTAAGTGCATAGCAATCTTTGTTAGCCATTTCCACCTACCTAAAGGTTTTCATGTACCTGTGGTAATAGTATTAACCTAAAAAGAAAAATCTCAAATACTAAACTGGCTAACCCTACCATCTGCATGTTTTAGTGTGAAAATGGAGTAATGACTGGGCCAGTAAGAAAATTCAATTTTAAAAATTACTCAAAGGAAAAGGCTCTTCTCCATATCAAAAGGGTATTCATAGTTTTATTTTTAGATTAAATGTAGCAATTAATGATTTGAAGAGACTGTGGTTTACATAATAAATGCAAATTGCTGTTTAGAGCTGAGGCATTGATGGATTCTTACTCAAAGCACTAACAGTCCCTTAAAACTTAATGGATCGCCAGGCATAACGTACTCTTGCTTTTATTAACTATTTACTAAAATGTTAAAACTTAAACCCAGTTTTCCTCAAAGCCCCAGAAATAACGAGTCAGACTCAAAGCATTTCAAGAATTTTAGGGATAAAATGGTTTGAGAATATCATGTTCATCTTCCCAGAATATTTCAGGACTATTTTGGAGGGTTGGACAGTAGAGAAGTTCCATCCATTTTTTTCAAAGAGACATTCTATAGTTATGTGAAGGAAATTAGTGAAATTCATGTTGTTTTTAAGATGTGCATGAGAAACTAACTTTAAAGGATGGAAATGTATACTTGAGCATAATCTGGATCTGGTTTGGCTTTTTATAAACATCAAATATACTCCTGTAAACTGACCATCAGACCTTTATCTGAGATGTCACTACCTAAAAACTGCTAAAATATTTCATCTTTTTCATTTGTGCAATGGGACCTATTATAAAAATGATCCTAGGATTAAAAGCCAATTTACATTTAATTCCCACAACTGAGGCAAATATTAAATACAGAATAGACTGTTCATGAATGTAAGCTCCCCAGGTAGGTGAAAAACATACTATTACCTCTCCTGGAAAACTTTTAAGTACTTTTTCTAAGAAAAATATCTTTAAAAAGATGCTTCAAATACCTTGTTGCTAGTGCTTAGGACCTCTAGTTTCATATTTCTCATTTTCAGACAGGATGTACCGTAGGCAAATGAGAGCTTATTGTTTTTGTGGGTTTATTATGGCTTCTTATTGCCATCTTAAGAGTTCACCTTTCTGTCTGTCAGAAGCTGGTCTCAGCCTTCTAGGTCAGAGTCAGAGCCTCCATCAAAGGCTAGATCCTGTAACAAGATGTAACCTACCAGCAACAGAGAACTAAGGCATGTCAGTTCACATTACTTCATTTCTATCTTGCAATTTTTTCTCTTGATTAACCTTTGCTAATGATTTCAATACTACGGTAGTTGATCAATCTGATCTAACTCTTGACTCAGCATCTGCATAACTTTCTAGTGAAAAGCACCCCAATAGCAATCTCACAGGTGAGTGTTTCCTATGTATAGTTGGGACATTTGTTCAGTACTGTACTTCTTGTTTGTTTTGCTTGCCAGGAGAGGTAGGTAAGGGGAGGAGTGAATAAGCCAAGTTTCTCATTCACAGATCTTACTCTGCTAAACTTGGCATTTTCCTTCCTTTTGCTTGCTATTTAGTGCTCTCCCTGTTCTGAATTTTTTATATACTTTCTAAGATTATTTCTTTTAATATAACCATAGACATTACTATTAATTCTGATCTTGAGACTCCTTAAGTCTATCAAATAGTGTCTGTCATTTGGCCATTACTCTTCCACTGCAATTATTAGAATAGGGAATTCTTAGTAAGCAATATTTAACTATAAGGTATATTTAAGATTTTTTAAAGGCACCTAGATATTTAGAGTACCTAAACATTGATTAGCAACAAAGTCTCAATTTTGCCCCCTGGGTTTAAATTAAGTCTATGCAATCCTAGTAATATATACTGCAAAGTAGCTCATGCTAGTGACTGCCAGCAGCACGCTAATTGCTGAAGACAAAAGCCCTTGAGATGCTACCTTGTGCTTGTTAAGTATTCTTATGGTGATTGTAACATTAGCCCTGTTCCACAAATTTATCAACTGAAGCTACCTACACCAACATCTAAAACTCAACTCCAGCTCAGCTTGTAAAAAAAAAAATCCTAGTACTTTAAGTTAAAAATCTGATTTGGAGCAGCTAAAACAAATCTAAGCAATCAAATATAGACAAACCTAAACTTACCAGAAGCAACCTAAAATACCAACAAAACACTAGACTGAAGCTTTAGTTCTACAGTTTGACTCCTGATTCCTCACTTCACATTAGTGAGGGTCCTTTAGAAGATTGTTCTGTGCAAACCCAATAAAATTACAGTTAGGGGATCTACTGTTGTCACATAGCTACAGTTAAGTTAGCAGTGTTGTGTAGTAGTGAAATCAATGACTGGCTTGCATGATGGCTTCTAAAAGCATCTGTTCCCAGAGTTTCATGTATTACGTATGTATATAAAATATCAGTTGAGGACAGCCATTAGCATTTTGTAAGATGATAAACTGAGTGTTAACTTCTCCCAGCCATTACCTTTTCCCCTCATTTAATGTTAAGTCATCTATGGGGGAGGGGAAGGGAAGAATTCAACTTACTTCACAATTCAGATCAATTGTCAATATACATTTAAGTTTTTAAAACCTAAATGTTCCAAGTACAGAGTAAAGAATAAGCTGTCCAGAGAGCACGCACTTAGGTTTTCTCCTCTTGGGAGTTTTAAAAAGGGATTTTGAACCTTGATGGCGAGAATCCCAAAACGAGAGTAAAATGAATTCTTTTTATTGCAAACAAACGTCTAAATTAATTTCTCCACCCACTTTCTTTAGAAAGAAAAAAGAAATCAGCAGGCTAAGGAGATACCCATTCAAGAACTGACATGATTAAAAATTAAGATATAAATGGGTGACTCACAATTGCATTAGCTTACAAAGATGGTGGAGTTAACTACTACAAGCACACTAGTTATACAGTATTTTGTGGGAGAAGGGCATACAGACATAGCTAACTTCATATAGATCCCATTAGACAACTGGATTTACAACAAGTTTTTTTAATAAGAAATGGGCAAAGCCAGCTTTCTTTTCAGAATCAAAATGCAGAACAAATGGAAAATTATGGTATTTAACCTTCACAAGTTTGAGCCTCCACAAATAATACAACCAAGTTTTACATTTTTAACAGCCCTTCTACATACACTCCATCTTCTCTATCTTGGTTCCAAGTTGTATCTTCATTCAATTATGCCAATTCCAATGTTATTTAAAAAGAAAAAGCCTTCCCAGTTATTGCCAGAAGCTACTGTTTAGCATACCCCCTCCACTACTCAGCAAACTACAGAGAGGATGGAGTGTAATATGAGCAGTACAGAGTCTTATGCAATTCATGAGGACCACTTGGTCCTTACATGAATCTGGTTGCTAACATTTCTATTATATTGTGACAATGACTCCCGACTGTTATCTCTGAGAAATGGGGGGAGTAAATTCTTAATAAAAGACACCAGGTACAAAGCAACATTTTACTTTTGTTGTGATAAAAAAAAAGTCACATTTTACAGATAAAATGTAGAACCCTGAAATACTGACACATTCTCTTATCGTGCACAATGCTGAGGTTCTCTTACGATTCACTTTAAAACTGCAATTAAAAATGTACAAAAAAGAAAAGAAAAAAAATCAACCCACAAAGCTTCTAAAAAAGGAACCCGCAGGCACTTCCTCTTGTGGAATGTTTAAAAAGTTAGCCTACTAAAGAAAACAGTCGACTTCTTGTGAAGGTTTTGGAGAAATATGTATCAGTTCGTTTTATTTGGGTATTCAATAATATCCTTGGTGATAATGCTGACTCCATGGCTTCTGACCCCAGAATTGCTGTAAGAGAAAATTTTTTTTTAAAGAAAAAACATCAATAAGCCACTCAAACTGCTTTTAGGAAATGACAATGAATATAATTCAGAGTAATTGCTGGAAACAAATTTATACCTGTCATACTTCTGATTTCTACCAAACCACATTCAGTTAGTATTAATATCCCATTATCATCATCAATAAACACATTACAAAAGGAAACACATCAGGACTTCGTTAGTTTATACAATTAAAGCTAGTAGTAAAAAAGAACCATATATATTAAATACTACTAATTAAAAAAATATTAAGTTACATCAAACATCAACCTATTTTACCTTCAAAAGATAAGATTATGGCTACGACTGCAACACAATCCACTCCTTGCCCTGTAACACTTACAAACACTTCAATCCCTGGATAAGATCTTTTGAAGAATGATTCTTATGAAAAAATACAACTTAATGTACTAAGCACATAAGAAATTACTTACACCCTGCTGCCACTGGTTGTAGCCCTGAGATTGATTTTTATAGCCTCGATTGTTTCCTCGTCCTCTGAAGTTCTAAAATGGAAAAAAAAGAAAGAAAAATCTTTAAGAACTCAGAACACAACCACATCTTAGGTTTGTACATGGGAAGGATGAGGGAGCACAGCACAGAAATGGGACAGCTGCTAATTAGTGTACCTGAAAATCAAATTTAATTAAGTGGACTCATTTTACTGCCGTCACTAATTTTCCTGATGTCAATGCATTTACACTGTGTTCCCACAACTCTTAGAGAGGCTATGCAACACAAGCTTACTCTTTTTAGACTAATTTATACAGATAATTAGGGATCAGTGCATCAGGATCATAAATCATTACCTGGTTGTAGTTCCCTCTGTTGGGCATTCCACCTCTGTTGTAGTTCCCTCCTCTGTTTGAATAGCCACCTCGGCTGCTAAAAACAGGGCCACGTGGGTATGGATAGCCAATTCCACCACTTCCGCCTCCGCCACCACCTCTCTGTGGCATGTTGCCCCTCCTATTATATCCACCACGATTCCCAGGAGCTAAAAAACAAGAGGTATTTTAGATTACAGTGTGTTGCGCCTCCTTCACACATATGACTTAGGGTTCTTCTGGACCATTGCCTTTATTTTAGGGGAAAAATAAATGTTTAAAGGTGAAGGTAATGTTTAACCACTGACATAACTTAGGTGTGTATCCTACCAAATCCCATTAAAACTTTAAACTAGAGGAACTATGATCAATGAGGTTCAAATTTCCTACGTTAAATTCAGCTAAATAACATGTAGACCCAAATTAGAAGATTTTCACTTGTTTCAATTTCCAATCAAATAAAGAGAATACTGAATGTTCACTTGCCTCCTCCTCTGAAATTTCCACCACGCATATTGAATCCGCCACGTCCTCTGTGGCCACCACCTCTGTTAAACTGGTTCTTGCCACTCTTATTTTTATTGCTCTTCTGTTTCTTTTCGGGGTGAAGAGCCTTTTTGCTCTCTTCCTTATATTGCTTCAGAAGTTTTTGGGCCTCCTCCTTCTGAAGTTCCACATAGGTTATCTCATCAAAGCACTCAGCTACCTCTGGCAGTGTAAAGTTTCCTACAAGGAATAAAGTCAGATTAACACACATTCACAATCCCACAATCCTTAAATCTCCAATTCTTGAATGGCTTAACGTTTTTCAACACACACTACAGTTACTTCCTGGTTTACTAACACATTTTCCTAAAAGTAGAAATAAGCCAAACATACTAATTTACCAAGAGTTAATGTAACTCCAGGAACAGTATTTCTAGAAGAAACTAAGTTTACAGATATAAATCACAGAAAGAGATTTAATGTGACAATAGAATAAAATTCCATGCCTTTCATTTTGAGAACTGCATGTTCTGGCAGGTCTTTGCCCTCTACTTCTGCTTTCTTCTGTGTTCTCTGCTTATAGTCTTCGTCCTTTGGGCAAACGACAACAGCTTTCCGCTGGAAGCCCGCGAACAGGCACATTTTTCTCCTCTGGGCAGCAGCAGACACATTTGTCTTAAAAACAAAAAGTTGTTTGTTTATTAATTCTACACAAACCCAATTTTCAGTTACTTTTCTCAACTTCAAAGCTCCAGAGCTTACCTGATCCAGAATAAAATTTCGCTTCTTACGAGCAGCAATCTCAATAAACTTTCCAAGACACTGTGGAGCTCTCTGCAACAGTGTGTTCAGTTTTCCCGTATCTGCCATTTGCTTCTTAAAGCCTGCTACCTGTTTTTAAAAGTGAGAAGTTTCCTTTGAGCTTGTGAATCTTAAGCTAAGCATCAGCTTAAATCTTTCCTACATATGGAAAACAGGCAACATTTTAAACACTTAAATAATTGCCCTTTTCCCACTGTTGGTATGATAAAAAGGGTCACGAGCATGTACTAAGTCCCCATGCTATTCATCTTTGTAGCTGTTGGATGGTAAGAACTTAAAATTCTTTAGACAAGACAATGAAGCCGAGAATTTGGAAAGCAGTTTACCTTACAGATAAAGAGCCCACCCACATTTAAGTAACCAATTTCACCTCCCCCAAACACCCCTCTCTCAAAAACTATCACAAAATGGATAAGGACAGTAGGCAGAAGGATTACTTAGAATACCTTCGGGTCTTTTTAAAATGCCGAGATCATGCACTAAACATTCTACTTACCATCATTTTATCCATTATGGTATTTGTTCCAAGAATGTTGTATTTACCAGGATTTTCTGCTGCATGTTTAGTAACCCAGGTAGTTTTCCCAGCTCCTGGCAAGCCGATCATCATAACCACCTACAATGGAAAGAAATGTTATTTCACTGTCTAATCATCAGAAGCCACCTAATAAATTTAAAATATATTTTAATGCGCAAACCCCACTTTAAATATCTGAATTTTCATAGCACTGTAACAAAGTAATTTGTGGAAAGTTTAACACTCCACATAAAGAGAGAAGATAGCTACTTAGAGGAAAATTACAGGAAGGGCATAAAGTAAATGAAAAATACCAATCACCTAACTCTTCTAAATGTCATTTTTGCCCAAACAAAAGCAGTGCTCAAATGCTTTCTAAAAAGGTCACTTACTTCACAATCTTTCTTCTCTTCAGGCCCCTTTGGACCTCTAACTCGGTCCTCTAGGGGGACGTTCTGGATCAAAGTATAGTCTTCAGGTATGGGAAAATATGGCTTTTCCTTCTGACCAAAATTGAATTCCACAGCACAGTTGTGGCAGAGAACATGTGGGAAGAGTGGCCGATCAGCAAGAATTTCCTTACTGATTTTGAAGGCAACACCAAGGTCTTGTCCATTCTTTGCATAGGAGAGTTCTACTTCATCACTTTCAAAGTTCTGTTAATAGAGGAGGGGAAGAGGGGGAGAATTAAGTTTTAATCTGCTTCCTGTAAAACTAAGAAACTTTTAACTTTCAAATGAGTGACGGTTATCCTATGGAAATACTATTCAGGTTCAATCTATATCCAAAAGCAGAAACAATACTGCCTTAGAAGGTAAGACTAGATTTTCAGGTCGACTTGATGCTAAGTACTTTTTATCAGTTAGTAGTGAATGTTGATATTAACACAGCTTTAAAAAAAAAATTCCCAGCACATAACTTGCCATTTACACACAAAAAATTGGCTAGGACTTACAGCGAAACATGTAATCACATCATTTTCATCAAACTTCTCTCCATAATCTTCAGTCTCACAGTTGCATGTTTTTATTCCTTTTAGAGAATACCCATAAGAAAATTCTTCTTCTCCTAAAAATAATAATAAACTACCATGAAGCTGATTTTTTTCAAAACAGCTTAATGCCCATATATTTTAGTATTCCTGATGTAAGGTTTTAAAAAATGAGCATATACTAAATATTCTTTTACATACACTGGCTTTATACTAAATGTAAAGTTCAATGGGTTATAGAACTAGTTTACAAATTGCATAACGTGGGTAACATTCTATCTTAAATATTATTGGTCATAAAAGAACAAAAACTAAAATTCAGCCTATGCCTACTACGTGCTAATGTTATCTAATTTAAAATATTAACAGAATTGGACAAAAACAAGCAAAATATTTGGAATGCCTTCTATTCTAACTACTAAAATCAGACCCTAAACACTGAGTACACAGGACTCAAATAGAAACTTTACCAAGTAGCATTCCACTTGTGGTTAGAGACCAGCCAATCCGAACTTCATGGATGTCAATATCTTTTGTATATAAATGCCTTACTGGGATCTTCTCTGTAACCTGAAAGTCAAATCATAAATGATTTAACTATCAGCCAAAAGATAAATAAACCCTTGAAACCTGGCTTATTTCATTCCATGGGATAACTGCTCTGGCTGCTAATACAGTCACCCACTCAAGAACTGAAAGAATTGATAAGGGCTTATAATTTGAAAAGATTTAAATATTTGGTTGAATCACATTTGAAAGAACAGTTAATGTTTAAAAATTACATAGTCTCAATATTCAACCTACAATAATTAAAGCACATATTTAACATTTTTTCTCTGCAACAAAATCAAGAGTCTAATTTTTAAACCCTTGGTGGGTCTTTTCAAGTGCCTGATTAAAAAGAGCGCATTTTAATAATAAAGGGGGCTGGCTGTGTACCACAAATTCAGATCCAACATGTTCAACTATTACAAAAGGTTCCTAATCCCTCTTCTAATTCATAGAAACTTTCCGAAGATAAAAAGTTCTACTGATACCCAATAGTGCCAGGTAAATGGAAACTCACAAAGGTTCTTAAAAAACAAAACACAAATTATATTTACCTTCATTTCAAAGCAGACTTTGCCTTTTGACACACCGTAAGAAGCCCTTCCTCCAGCCCAAAGAAAAGCAAAACTCTCCATAGTAAGGGAAGAAGCACTGAGGCGATCTCTTGATATTTTAAAATGCAGATCACAATTATCTGTAATTACATCAATACCATATTATTTCTTTTCACATCAAACGTAAACATATTTGCTATGTAGACAAAACTTGGTTATTAAATTTCTGCACGTATGTCTAAATGCTACATAGGACACTTTTACATGCTGTTAAATTTTCAATTTTAAGCCCCACTCCCACCAAGTCACTTGCCAAATTATGTACTGAAGTGTAAACTACCTATAAAACTAAGAAACACCAAGGTTTAATGTGTATTTTAAGTATATAAAATAAGACAATGTGACATTAATACATACCTGCTCTGCTCTTTACCTTGATTTAGAGGCAAGCAGTAGAGGATAGCAGGAAATCAAAGTGAAGCATGCCAGAACCAGGTAGAATTTACCAGTGCCACAATAGAACTGACAGAAGGCCATGACCAAGTATTGTATGAGCTGCTGATCCTGTACTTTCTATTTTTAAAACACCAGGGACTCTAGATCCTAAATCCTTTTCTAAAACTTGTGAAGGCAGCCTCAGTCTACAAACACAAACCCAGTTGTCTAATGCTGTAGCTATTATAGCCCTTTAGGTCTCCCTTCCTGGTGCTTGCCTGTTCAACAACAATGGGGGTTACCCACTTCCGGGATTATCCAAATCCAGAATGTCTTTAACCTAGCTCACCACCTATGGGTCAGTGGCTCATTAACATGCACTTCTGAGGGAGAGCTGAAGTTAGAAAGCTGTTTCCTTAAAAAGTTTTTATTGGTGAGAAAAATTAAATCTACGTAGTTTGAAATTCCCCTTCCATTAGCTTTGCTCTTAAAATTCCCAACCGTCATTGATAGAATGAACCCAATATTGCATTTAACAAATTGATATTCCTAGGTGACCAGTTACAAGTCTGTCTACTTTATAATAGTAGTGTTACCCTCTTGAATTATTGCTTCATTTATCTTGCCAATACCTAATACTTTATATTTAAGAAACCGAATTTTAAAAACATTCATCTGACTACTTTTTCATGTAGCTTTCTTTTAAAAGCATCCACTATCTTAACTATCTGTAAAGGATACTCAACAAGAAATCAGGAGTTTTATATTAACACTCTGACATATCTGAATAAAAAAACAATCTGTATTCAAAAACACTAGAATCTACGCTTCAACTCCCCAGGCTCTACAGGGCAGATTGACACCTTACCTCTTATTTTTCAAGCAATTACTTCTACCCTTTGTTCTATCACTGAAAGAACTGATAAGAACTGATCAAATACTAAATCAACAAATCTCTTCGTAAATAGAATTTACAACTCTAACAGCCATGGCCATTTAGAGGTTTGCAATACTAATACTTCCTCCTACTCAACTGCAACCCAACTGGGTAAAGTAGCAGTATTTACAGCGCTGCCATTGATACCATTCGCTGGTGAAGAGAGCTAGTGGCCCAGTGATAGGCCACTGCTGCTGCCCCAGGTCTTTGGAAGAAATCAACTTATGTTAAAGCAGCAGCTACTGAACTGGAATTGAGAACAAAAGAGCAGTTATTGAGAAAGTAATATTACAATCTTTTAGAATAGGGAATACACTTGGGTGCTAATGGGAAAAGCCATTAATAAAATGTAACTAATCCAAATAGCTCACTTAAGGTGAGTCCAAAAAAGATGAAATTACTTTATTGAGGAAGCCTTACAAGTTTCCATTAGTTAGCGAGTCAAAAGTTGGCATTAACTTTACATTCCTACAAAGAACTTTCAAGTAATATAAAAGTATTACCAAATTGCTAGAGCCTGTGTAATTATCAATACAGCTGATGTTATACCGAATATTTAAGCGACCGGATAAATCATCTTCCTGCCTTTGGAAACCTGTTTCCATGTCCCCGTTACATCTTCTGCACTTAAGCTCAATGTACTACGAAGTTTCCTAACATTTCAAACCGAAACCACATCTGAAAATTGGGGGAGGAGGGGGCGCCGCAGCTTCACTTACAAGTGTCAAGACAAACCACCGTGTCATCGAAGTGCTCGTCCTCCTCCTCCACGGGCGGCTGCGGAGACTTGGCCCTGTAAGACAACAGGGCCTCCGGTACAGCCTTTCCCCCAGGACACGCGGCGCGGCTACTTAGTCAGGGGCACTGATCCCTTTTCCCTTAGATTGTCAAATAAAAAATGATAACGGCCAACACAACAATAGCCACCTAGTGTGAATGAGTCAAAATTTCCTCAATGTACTCAAAGTAGCCCCGGCCGTGGTCTTCCCGCGGGCGCTTCACTCCTCGCTTTTTGTCTCCGCCTTTCTGCTCGCTTTTGCCGTCGCCTACAACACACAACACCCCGATTCAGGAGGCCGAGCCCCAAGGCCACACACAGAACCCTTGGGTTTTGAGGCTCAAAACAGGCCATTTCCTTGTTCCTGGTTGTAAGCGTCTTTAATCCACGAATCCAACGCGAATCTAACCACCATCCGCTCGAAACTGGCCTGGAGCGAGTGACGCAGTCGAGAGACATCACAGACCTCGGCAGGCCGTTCGAAGGTTCGAGAACCCTAACGAAAACCAGCGCCGCACAGGCCGAGCCCAGTGGCACATAGCCTGTGCCAGGAACCAGGAAACATCACTGCCTTCCTCTGGGCCTCAGTTTCCTCATCTGTGAAATGGGGCTGGAGCCTGCGATCTGGCGGTCCCAGCTGGCTCTGCGGGAGATGGGGACTCTGTGCCACAGTTCCCGCAGCTATTAAGGGGGAGGGATCATAGCTCTCGCCCCCGGGCTGTAGCTGACAGTGCCTGGTATGCAGCAGGGGAGAACTAACTGGACCCAGCTCTAAGACACCGCTGGCCGCCCAAGCCACAGCCACCCATCTGCGCACACTACGATGCTTCCGTGTAAGACTAAAATGAAAACAAACAGCATTTGTGTATGCAGACATATAAAAAGGCCCAGAAAGCCGAAGCCGGTTTGGCTCAGTGGATAGAGCGTCGGCCTGCGGACTGAAAGGTCCCAGGTTCGATTCCGGTCAAGGGCATGTACCTGGGTTGTGGGCACATTCCCAGTAGGGGTTGTGCAGGAGGCAGCTGATCGATGTTTCTCTCTCATCGATGTTTCTAACTCTCTATCCCTCTCCCTTCTTC